ACTTGAATGATTCCCTCAAATATGAAGCCGATATATAATGGCAGATGGCGAAATCGTGCGCGATCCTCCGCCAAGATCGGAACTGAAATTCGAAACGGGATGGTAAGGGGGGGCTGCTGTGAGTCATTAACAGCAGCCCCAGCTGTTAAACATGAGCCATTAGATGTAGTTTAAATAAAAATAGATCTAAGGGCTATAGATAAATAACAAATAAAATAAACTAACAATAGTTCTAATAAACTAAACCTGCTGCTACAAACCTCTGCAAAATTAATATGACGAGTTTTTGGAGACGGATCGAGAACACAAAAATTACGGCAAAAAATCTGAACATGAGAAGAAGAGAGCGGCGGCGTCGAGGAAGCCGAATAAGGGAGCAGTTCCATCGCCGCTGAACGTCGAAGACATGTTTCCGATCAAACTACTTGTTAATTCACAAATTTAACTTTTTTCGCCAGGTTTTTGGTGATTGAATTTAGGTAATGGTGGACATATTGCTCGAACTTCAGTAAGAGTATAAATAGGCTACAGAAAGAAGTCGTAATTCCTAATGTGATCATTCTTCATGGCAGGACATGTTAGTCACAACTCTCGAGTGGGCAATGACAGGGCTCATAAAGAATCCATGAACCATGAAAACTCTACAAAAAGAAGTGCGGAAGGTTGCCGGAAATAAGAAAGATACAAACGAGGCATTGAGACTACATTCACTGCATCCCCCGTGAATCCAAACACGACACCAAAGTCATGAGCTATGACATATCTGTTGGGACAAGGGTCGTGATCAACGCGTGGGCCATCGGTCGGACGATCCTAAAAATAAAGAAGCATCATGATGATTTTGTTAACAATAATAACATATCACAAGCTTCTGTAGTAAAGAGAAGCCGTGGCAGGCCCAGAAAATGAGAGTCGAACTGCTAAGTAGTAGTTGTGCTAAGAAGTTGTTGAGGCCAGAAATGGTGTAACTTTTTGGATTTTTTTTTTCTCTGCAGGCTGCAGCAGATTACATACCTAGCTCTTTGTATTTGGATTACACCTTTTAAGGAGCTGAATATTTGCTAAATAGCAACACATATTTTTTGTTGAGTCACTTATATCAGGTAGTGATTTTATATGCCACAGTCTTCTTGCTATCTTCTAAGCATTAGTAAAAGAGTGTATGTGTTTGAGTATAAAGGAGTGGTTGGGCAGATAGCACAAATTAAGATCAATTCTCTTCTTTTGTTGATCTTAGATAACATTTTTTTTGTTGAAATTGATTCCAATTTATCCAAATGCAAATTTTGCTTCATGAGAATATTGCAAAATTGTTCGATTTATATTCTGCTTATTACAGGCAATTCATTAATGAATTTAGGAATAGGCCCAGTGAATCCGGCGTACTTGGAAAAGAAAGACGGCTAAGCTTTTCAACCACGACCCACTTCATAATTCTCCCAACTGAATCAAATGACAATTTTAGTGTACAGAAGATTGCTATGTGACAGATTTATCATATAATGTGTTGTATAGATTAGGTGTGGAGATATTCATTGTGTACACTAAAAGAGAGCATATTTTTAGGATCACCCCACAAACAAAAGTGAACTAACAACAACAATGCAGTAAACTGTGAAAGAAAGCTGAGCTAGAATTGAAAAAGATGAAATAATAAGCAAAATAGTAGCTGATTTTCCATTACTGATATAGAACACAACTGGATAACTGGATGAGTTGAAAAACAAGAGGCACAAGCACTACAATAACAATCTCCCATGCCTATTTACCCTAACAAACACCAAACAAACCTAGAAAGACAAACTTAAGCCCTCTCGCCCCTGATCCTGCGAGCCAGCTGGATGTCCTTAGACATGATCGTCAACCTCTTGGCGTGGATGGCGCACATGTTGGTGTCCTCAAACAGACTGACGAGGTAAGCCTCCGCCGCCTCCTGGAGCGCCGCCACGGCCGAGCTCTGGAACCTCAGATCCGTCTTGAAGTCCTGCGAGATCTCTCGAAGCAGCCTCTGGAAAGGGAGATTGCGGATGAGGAGCTCGATGGAGATCTGGTACTTGCGGATCTCACGGAGGGCGAGGGTGTCGGGACGGAAGCGGTGGGACTTCTTCACGCCGCCGGTCGCCGGAGCGGACTTCCTGGCGGCCTGGTGGCCAGCTGCTTGCGGGGAGCCTTGCCGCCGGTGGATTTGCGAGCTGTTTGCTTCGTGCGTGACATTTTCTCGGGTTTTTTTTTACTGTTTGGGGGGTGATGAGAATGTTAGAATTTATGAATTTTGGAATGAATTTGCTGGGATTGTGGAGAGGTAAGGGGCTGGAATTGTTAAGTTTTATTAGTTTATTCTTTATTTATTTTTAGCCATTAGATGTTGTTTTAATTTATGTGTAATGAATGGCTAAGATTTAACTGTAGGGGCTGCTGTTAGTAACTCACAGCAGCCCCCCTTTACCCGAGAAATATATGTTATCCACATCAAATAATGGTGCCGTGTTCGAAAACAAGGCTTTCCAGAGACGTTGATTACTTTTTCGTTTTTGCCCCTATTTATTCTTATTATCCTCGACTTCTTTAAATGTATACAATTTTGTAACAAAACGCGGTGGTGTGAGAAATATATGTTATTCGCATCAAATAATGGTGCCGTGTTCGAAAACAAGCCTTTCCAGAGACGTTGATTATTTTTTTGTTTTTTGCCCCAATTACTCTTATTTTCCTCGACTTC